AGGCCAATTTCGCTGATGAACATAGATGCTAAAATCCTCAACAAAATATTGGCAGACCGCATCCAGCAATACATTAAAAAGATTATCCACCATGATCAAGTGGGATTCATCCCAGGGATGCAGGGATGGTTCAATATACACAAGTCAAAAAATGTAATACATCACATAAATAAAAGAAAAGACAAAAACCACATGATCATCTCGATATACACAGAAAAAGCATTCGATAAGGTACAGCACCCATTTATGATCAAAACACTCAGCAAAATGGGAATAAATGGGGCATTCCTCAACGTAATAAAGGCCATATATGAAAAACCTACAGCCAACATCATACTCAACGGGCAAAAACTAAAAGCTTTCCCACTAAGATCAGGAACACGACAAGGATATCCGCTTTCACCACTTCTATTCAACATCGTATTGGAAGTCCTAACCACAGCGGTCAGACAAGAAAAAGAAATAAAAGGCATTCAAATAGGAAAGGAGGAAGTAAAACTCATTGTTTGCAGATGACATGATAGTATACATAGAAAACCCTGTAGACTCTATCAAAAAACTACTCAACCTAATAAGTGAATTTGGCAAAACAGCAGGATACATAGTCAATATTCAGAAATCAAAGGCATTTTTGTACACCAGCAATGCAATAGAAGAAGAAGAAATCAGAAAAAAAATACCATTCAATATAGCAACAAGAAAAATAAAGTACCTAGGAATAAGTTTAACCAAGGAGGTAAAAGAAAACTATACAACATTGAAGAAAGAAATTAAGGAAGACACAAATAAGTAAAAGCATATACCGTGCTCATGGATTGGAAGAATTAATATCATCAAAATGTCCATACTACCCAAAGCAATTTATAGATTCAATGCAATCCCTATTAAAATACCAATGACGTATTTCACAGAAATAGAACAGACATTTCAAAAATTTATACAGAACCATAAACGACCCCTAATAGCCACAGCAATTTTGAGAATGAAAAACAAAGTAGGAGGGATTGCAATACCGGACATCAAACTATTCTACAAAGCCACAACACTCAGAACAGTTTGGTACGGGCACAAGAACAGTCTCATAGACCAGTGGAACAGAATAGAAAGCCCAGAAATAAGCCCAGGTCTCTATGGGCAACTAATATTTGACAAAGGGGGCAGAAGCATAAAATGGAGCAATAATAGCCTCTTCAACAAATGGTATTGGGAGACCTGGATGGCTACATGCAAAAAATTGAAATTGGATCATCAGCTGACACCATACACAAAAATAAACTCAAGATGGATAAAAGACTTAAATATAAGTCACAACACCATCAAAGTCCTAGAGGAGAACATTGGCAGGAAATTCTCAGATATCCCATGCAGCAATTTTTTCACTGATATGTCTCCTAAAACAAGGGACCTAAAGGAAAGAATAAACAAGTGGGACCTCACCAAAATAAGAAGCTTCTGCACGGCTAAAGAAAACATCAGCAAAATGAGAAGGGAGCCAACTGTATGGGAAAATATATTTGCTAATGATACATCAGACAGAGGTTTGATCTCCAAAATATATAAAGAGCTCACTCGACTCCACTCCAAGAAGACAAACAATCCAATCAAAAAATGGGCAAAGGATCTGGGCAGATACTTTTCCAAGGAAGAGATACAGAGAACCCAGAGACATATGAAAGGATGCTTGGCATCACTAGCCATCAGAGAAATGCAAATCAAAACCACAATGAGGTACCATCTCTCACCTGTCAGAATGGCCATCATAAACAGATCAACAAACAACAGGTGCTGGCGAGGCTGTGGAGAGAAGGGAACACTAGTCCACTGTTGGTGGGGATGCAGACTGGTGCAGCCATTGTGGAAAGCAGTGTGGAATTTCCTCAAAAAGCTGAAAATGGAACTGCCTTTTGATCCAATGATTCCTCTGCTGGGACTATACCCTAAGAATCCCAAAACACCAATTCAAAAGAATCTATGCACCCCAATGTTCATAGCAGCACAATTTACAATAGCCAAGTGTTGGAAACATCCTAAATGCCCATCGGTAGATGATTGGATCAAAAAGTTATGGTACATTTACACAATGGAATACTATGCAGCAGAAAGAAAAAAACAACTACTACACTTAGCGACAGCATGGATGGAACTGGAGAGCATTATGCTAAGCGAAATAAGCCAGGGGGCAAAAGACAAATACCATATGATCTCACTTATAAGTGGAACCTAACCAACAATACAAAGATGCAAGGACAATAAAACCAGCAACACTGAAAGGAAAAGAAACCAACAGAGACAAGAGGGAAGGAGGGGGGCGGTGTGGAGGAAAAGAAAGGGGAGGGGAAAGTCAAGGAACATATAGCAAGGACTCATGGAAAAAACCAAAGGGGAAGGATTGAGGGAGGGGGGGAGAGGGAGGAAAGGAAAATGGTGGGGGGAAGGCAGAGACAAATGTATTTGAAAAAATAAATAAAAAAAAAGAAAAAAATAAACTAACATGATTATTTTTAAATGACAGAAATGCTAACATTCAGATTCATACGTTTCCTGATTGTTCTTCTTTGTCAAAGACACTAGCTGATACTTGATTAAAATAACATATTGAGATTTGCTTAGTTGCTATGATTGGAAATATTCTATAGTTAAAGTATTGTGAGTACATGTGGCAACACTTAGTCTAGACAAAATAAAGAACATTGGGATTATCAGAGTGCCAAAAAGTATATTCTCAGTCCTTCTTGTGGAATAAAGATAACCACTTGACATGTGGAATATCGGTCAGTCTTGAAATGGATGAAATTTTTAAAATGTTTGTGGTGATCTTATTGATTTGTTAACCCAGGAAACATTCTCAATATCGTTCTTCCGACTACCTCATGCCACACTGTCTAGGAAGCAACATACTTTCCCACTATCTTTTGCAGCTAGGATTGGCCTTACAATCCGGTTCTCACCAGTCACATGTAAGGTGGAGCCTACGGCGGGGAGGACTCTGGGAGTTTATACTCTTCCTTATACTTTGTGCTTTGAATGTGGATGGGATCCCTGGAATGGCAGGAATCAATTTGCCATCAGAAGCAACAAGCATGAGGACAAAAAGTCCAGGGCTTTTAAGAACATTGTCAAGCGGCTATACCTCTTGTTGCCTTCCTCCCAGACTCTTAATTAAACAAGATGATTAAATGATTTTATTACTTTAATAATGGCTAGTTAGTTTTGTTTTTGTTGTTACTTGCAGCCATTAGCAGCTTATTCACATAGTTCTCTACGAGTTTGAGATGAGTCTACACTTACATGAAGCCCAAGCCAGCTATCCGTCAGAAACATGGCCGAAATCTCCTTCCGGGAGAGTAATCTAAAGCAGCGCTTTCCAAAAGAACTTTATTTGATGATGGAATTGTTCATATAGATGATATTGAATACATGGCCATTGAACACTTGAAAAGTAGATAGTGCGATTAAAAAAATAATATTTTAATTTTACGTAGTTTAAGTTAATTTAATTTGAAACTGAAATAGTTACATGTAGGTACCGGCTATCAGCACAGATCAAAAAAATTGCTAGTCTACTAAAAAATACCTAGTTCTCTTGAAGAAAAGTCAGCCTTTAGGTTTACAGAGTTGTCTTACAGGCCCAAGAACACCTCATTATGGAAAAATGATGACCCAGTGGGGGCTTTCCACAGTGTCATGTTTGAAGGCTGTTAAACAACATTTAACTTGCTTATTAGCTAACTATGCAGAACTGATACCAATTTAAGCATTTTACATTGACACCCATAATAAAGGATGTCTTTTTATTTGGACTACACTCATTCAGCTGTTTGTCAAGACTTTTGTTTTCACAATTACAAATGAAAAGAATAATAATGGTGTGCCAGTCTCATTAAGCTTTGGGGAATAATAACTCTCTGAGGTAAACTGTAAATTATGATTTGCAGAAGACTTGGAGGTATCCTAGAAAATCAGCTGCAAAGTGTAGCAATGCGGTGCTAAGAACAGTGAGACACTGAGGATTGCCAGCTGATGGTCCTCCCATGTAAAGGCAAGAGCAGTGGATACTGATTATACCAGAAACCAGAAATCTATGGGGCTGCCACATCCTAGAACATGGGATTCAAGACTATCTACCACACCCAAATATTATTCAAAGAAATAAGTCCATTGTGCCTTGGTGTGTTTCATAAAGCTAAATAATCAGCACGCTTACATTCATAGCCTTTTATAGAGCCCAAGGAAGAACTAATTCTGCAAGTGTGCGAGGTGGCCCAGAGCGTTCAAAATCATCACCTTTTCCATCTCCTGGCGAGGGTCACAGTTACGGACAGCTACTCCAACACCAGTCACTTCCCTGCTGATGAAAACAAGTGAGCAAAGCCCCTTTGGTTGGGAACCTGAGCTCCTCCAAGCTAGGGCTATGCATAATTTTAAGAAATAGCTGACAAGTCAAACTTATTTCAGAGACAGGACTATCTATAAACAGGCTTCTAACAGAAATAATAAAGGAAGGAGTTGAAGACTTTTGGCAAGCCATATGCACTTCATCTCTTTGGTTCTTTGGCATAAAAATTATCCAATTAAAAACATTCAGTTGAAGAAAGTCACCACCATAATCCACATTTCTAACAAAGAGTAGTTGTACAAGGTGCTTCTTCAAACAATACTAGAGAAACTGGATCAATTCAAAGCTGATTTTCTCCTCACAGAACTATTATTTATACTCAATATCATCCTCATGTTATATTGACAAGTACTCACTTCTCATCAGTTAGCTTTGCAATTCCTTTCCAAACACCTATGGTTCTTTATAGGCTCTGCTTTAACCCACTTATTTTATAGTAGCTTCCAATGTCTAAGAAGATAAAGGTAACCACGTGTGAGAAGTTAAGACCCAATCTTGATAGTGGGAGGCATAAGACATGGTCTGTAGGAATACACTGTGTCTGAAAGAAGGTCTTATGTAGAAAATATCTCAGCTAAAGATGTATCAGGATATGAATTCTTACCTATGATGTGGCTCTGAAATGCAGAATCTACAACTGTATCTTCATCCTCTTGCAGGTTTTCATTTGCCTTTTTTATCTGCAGCAACAAAAAATTACTGTAAGTTCTTTTTTATTATGTTAAATAGATCTTTTGCCATCCTCAGAATAATGGCAGATTCTATAATGTGTGTGTGTGTGTGTAAAAGAAAATATATATATATATTTCCCATAATCTATATCTATATCTATCTACACACACATACACGCACACACACATAAAATGAAGAAAATATATTTTCTGTGTGTGTGTAGATAGATATATAAAATATATATATAATATATATATATTTTTTCTTCATTCCACTTTTCCCCATTCTATCACTTGGCTTTATTACAAGTTTTAATTATAAAAGCATATTTGCCAAAATATAAACCTAGCTCTAAAAATGAGGACTTACAGGGAACCTAATTCTACATAAGATTTTGGAGATAACAGCAACAGCTTAGGTTTTTAATATTTAACAAGGTCAGAAACAGAGAGCTGTAAAGAAAAAAAATTAAAGTCTAAGAAAATATAATTCCTCCAGAGTCAGTGACTTCCACTACAAATTTTAATAAGAGTAAAGAATACACTTAGATAACCTGACCATTTCCTACACTATAATTCTCTAAGAAAATGATATGATATTTTTTGTTCTTTCTACAATGAAACATGAAGTGACTAAGATGTGTGCTCACTGAATTAGAGCAGTGACACACTTATCTAGAGTTTTCAGGTCAAAAGAATTTCCCTTATATTTCAGTTGGAATATTCAGATGCTGAATCGTATAAAATCAAATGGAACTCTAGAGAGACTCTAATAACATTACAGTATTTTTACAAATGAGAATTCTGAGGTCCAGCGAGTTTCCTTAAACATATTTTAAGTGGCAACACAGGAACTAAATCCTAGGTCTGCCTTCCCCATCTAGTAGCACCAGTAACAATAATACTATCAAGAGTATCAATAATGATAAAAACAGCATACTACTGTATGTTATGTACTAGGTGCCGACTACGATATTCACACCCATGATTTCACAGTCCTCACAACAACACAAGGAGGTAGGTGCTACTGTTAGATCCATTTTGGAGATAAGGACCATGGAAAACAGAAAAGATGAGTAATTATACAAGTGATGGGATGGAGGTTCAAACACAGCAAAGCTGTCCTGAGATTTGTGTTTATTTGGGTGTACTTCGTTATTCTCAGATTTCTGTTTGAGTATGACAGCGTAGATTTGGCCTCAGTATCAAGCCTGGGGTCCTTGGCAGAGTGACCCAAAATAGCTTTTTAAAAATACATCCCTGCCAGTCACTTGGGAAGCCAATAATAAAAAGGTGAGCTGTGCAATGAGGGTTCTGTTCAGGCAGGAACATTACAGGTTGTGGTTGCCAGTAGATTTGCTCAGGGGCTCCAGTTGAATGCCAAGAAACCCTTATTTTATATTCATAATGTAGAAAGTCATATGGTAGCATACTGACCTTGAGCTGAATTTAGCTGTTTACTTTTTACCTAATATGTTCATATTTAATGGAATAAGAACAATTATTTACATTTTATTACTGCAGTTCTAATATTAGATTATAATTGGTGATTAATCTGTACCTGCTCAGAGCCAGAAGATGGCAAACTCAGGAGAGTATGTGGATGGCTACCCACAAGAAGAGATTCTTAGAGGTTGAATATCGAGAGGCCATGGTTCATTACTTCCCTATCAGCTGTCTGCTCTTCAGGTACTTCCCTGACTGTTAGCATCTTCAGGGGAAGAAAGTTAGGAAATGGGGGTAAAAGCCTTCCTCAGCAAGCTCTGCTTCTAACAGTGCACACTGATGGATTGCAGAGAGGAAAAGTACCATGAGCCTTTGGGAGCCTAACATGTTCTGGTTTGCCTTCCACAGTCCACAGAGCTCAGTGATCTCTTTGTGACAAGGATACCAAAAGACCCATGGAAGGGGACATTCCCCAAATACCTCATTTTCCGTTAGCAACCCAACAACCACCTTTTATCTTCATTTATAGAAACATCAAGGGAATTTGCTTATATGATCAGCCCACAATGGCAATATGTTCTCTATTTTCCTCTACCTGTTATGGAAGATAGCATTTCCTTTAGGTTTTTCTACACTGACCCATTTTAAATGTAAAGGGGTGCCCTGCTGACCTACCTGCTAGAATGTGGTTGATTCATCTCCAGCAGCCTATGAAACTCTAAAGGGTCTAATATTTAGAACAAGTTCCTCATTATACAGGTTAAAAAAAGAAAAGAGGCTCAGAGAGGGTTAGTGATCTGTTCAAGGGTACAAAGGGTTTCACTTTTAGAGTGGGCGCTCCTTATCCCTACTCATTGCTGTAATTTAATTTTCAGAGTGAACCATGTTGCCATAGTCATCCTTTCTAGGCTATCACAAGAATTACTACATTTTTCTTAGTGTCTGGCAGTTAGCTGTTTAGGCTGTATTCCAAGTACACATAAACCATACTTTTATTTAAGAGTAGCAGTGATTTTCGCTGTGTGTAATGTTGCGCGTGTGTGTATGAATGTGTATAACTGCCTTGCTTCCCTTTCCTACTTACCTTTCTGTGAGATGTACCCATCACCTTTTCCCAAGTATGATATTTAAGAAAGAAAACAAAAGCCACCATGCAGTCCTACCTGTCAGCTCCTTGTCAGAACCTTTCTAGGGCTTTCTGTGCTTAACAGCAAATGTTAAATGTAGTCTCTGGGAATTTATCAGAGAAACTGGACTTGTAGACAAGGCCTTTAATTCTTGCAGCTCTCCTGAGCTAACAGCCCATGAGGAGCAGATGGCCCATGAGGGGGAATTTTCAATTTGAGGAAAATGGATGAAGAATTAGCAACAGAATGTAAAATGGAGGGGTGTCTTAGAATGGCCTACCTGTTGACTCTAACTGTACAAATAGATTTCTAGTCAAAGTGGTGAGTAATTAAAAAATCCATTTGCCTATGGCAATAAGGGGCATAATTTATGCTGGCAGCAGACTTCTCTTGCTAATTACATTTTTCATAGGCTGAAATTAACATTAATTTTCATTCTTGATCACACAGTGCTTGAGTGCTGAGAGGTGGTGGGAAGCTTCCTGGGGTAACGGGCTGCCCACTCAAGATTTAAAATTTGCCAAAGATAGACACAAGTGGAACCATCTTCACAAGGCAAGGCGTTTCAAAGATGGGAGTGGTCACAAAACCAGGATGTTTGCCTCGGAAAAGAACAGGGGTTAGAGATTCAGATTTTCTCAGCCACTGCTCTACCGGGAACAGATATAAATCAGTAATGTCCCTTATGGTAAGAAGTAGCAGGTGGTTCACAGGCAATAGCTGTGGGCTGTTTTTGGTTTAAGTTTGTTGTTAGTATTTTGGGCACCTTCCCAAATGCACTTCCCAGTGCATTTTCGACTCTTGTCCACCTTTTGAGCTCAGTTGTATTTAAGAACTATACTGAATATAAGTCTGTAAGAGGTAACTATTAAATGTCATTGTACCCCTTATATTTTGTTAATCCCTCTCATTAGAAAAGACAAGGAGGAATGAGCTTGCAAAGGACACAGAAGGAAAAAAGGAGAAAATAGTTCACCACTGACCAATATACATACATACTTTCAGAATTACACCCAATACTTGGGGATACACTTCATTTGGAATTCTGAATATATTTCTTCTCTGAATCATCCTAACCCTAATGCTTTCCCATTTGGAAGTTAAAGCTCATTGAAAAGGAAAAACACAGAGTGAACCTGAGGGAGGAAGTGATCGCTGGAGGCAGAACTCCTGGAAGGCAATGACTTTAGAAAAGTTAGTCATTTAGAAAAGTTTTTCAGGAGGAGAACAAAATATGCATGCTTCTTATTACCATCAAAATAGCATTGAGAACAGGATTGTTCAATTAAGAATGTTGAAATTATAACATTTTGCAGAACTTAATAAGGTGATAAGTTGTGTAATTATTGTACTGTTTTGTGCTATTTTATCATCATTGATAAAATAGCACAAAATGGACCATTTTAATGGGATAATACTTGATGCTTTCTTTATTAGCATATGTGATTTTTTTCAGACCATATGACAGTAGGTGAAGAGAATATCCATAATTTAAATTAAAATACTCATTAAAATGGTCATCTCTTTCCACTGCATGATGAAGTATATGATCTCATTAATTTTATTAATGGTTTTTATTTTGTCCAGTGATAGATAGGAGGCTGGAGCTCTCTTTCCTTGAGACTTCTCATTTTAGAAAATTATTTAAATCTACAGGAAGGAAGAATGTACAACATGTAGCAAGCAGAGTACATTTCTTTCTGAGTTATCTTTTCTGGGGATGCTTTTTCCTCTTATAATGATTTCATATAATTTAAATAAAAGCACAAAGTAACATGGCCCATGTCTAAATTACACAAAATTAGAGTTAAGTGGCCTGTAAATAATGGCATAAATGGGGGCATAAGCCTTCAATTAAGGTGTTGAAAGGAGAAAAAGATTTAATTCAGCAAAGCATTAATGGGAGTTTTACACATGTTCGAATGTACCTAGCAGTCCTGGGAATGGACATGTAGTTACTACTGAACTAAATGGAGGTCTGCTACATACATGAAATTGTAATATGTATGTAAATAATCCTTCTACTATTATCACTGTTGTTTAAAATAATGATAATGCCTTAGGGCTCTCATAGCTAAATATAGCCTTAGTTTGTAAAAGGCAGGGATAGTGGTATATTAAGTTACAAGGTTTATAACGTTGGTTTTATTCAGGAAAAAAGTGTGATATGTAGTGCATTATGGGCAGCTATTGTTTCCATCCCAAATAACTACTATCAGAAGAATTCTTTGCAACACACTGTAAAATAAGCAGAGAGCAACTTTACCTTGAGCCTTAGTGGGGGAAAATTCCTTTAAACTCTGAATTTTAAAAGGTTCATGGGTATTCACATCAATGTGCCATGATATTAGAATACATCTGATTTTGCCTCTAACCTCCTTCCTCTATAGGTTGATGACATATAATAAATAGGTTTTTCACTGCTATTTGTGTACTAGTCCCAGTGGAGACTGTGGCAATGTCCTTTCTGCAATTAGTACTTTGAGTTCAAACCACACTGATGATTATGGAGATGAAGTGAAAAACATTGCATTTTACATTAAAAATTGCCTAGCTGGTCAACTATCCAGGTTAATAGCATTCTTCTGTATGGGAAGTCTTCCCAGCATGACTAATTTTGTCTTGCAGCTAACTAGAGAAATTAGCATACCCCTACTGATTATGTATACATGGGGTATTTAGGGAATCTCTGTACTTCACAGAAAATAATAAGACTGTTTCCTGTAGCTGTTCTGGAAGGACCAAAGGACACCTCTCAGTACATTGTGAAAGGCTGTGGAGGAGAGAGGACAAGGTGGCAAATTGCTTTAGCATTAGGAAACAATGAGAAAGCAAAAATAAAATTGTAAAAGGAAAACAGAGGGTCTTTTGTTTTTTTTTTTAGGGACTCTGTACAGTGAAGATATACTCTCTGCTGTCAGAACCATATTAAATGGGCGTAGTTAAATTGAGTGTGTCTGATAAGGGCTCTGCCAGGCGATCAGTTTTAGATCAGTTGGACTGAATTTCTGGCATATTGCACATTTCCACGTGTAGTACATTCTCCTTGTTTCCTTACAGTGACACAAGGGCAGCCTTCGCCATGCTTGTAATTTGTGGTTTTATAATGCAGGGGACATCTACATTTTCAAAGAGGCGATACCAGTGGAAATCAAGAGTAAAATAGGGGAAAATTTAAAAAAAAAAACTTGCAAAGAACATAGTGAACACGATTCCAGAGTTTTTTTTTAAAGGCCCTATATCTCTTTAGAGTCAAAAGCTATTTGAAAAAAATTAAATATGCATTTGTCTCAAATTACAGTATGTCTGTGAAACTCTAAGGAACACTAAACATCAAGAAGCCATTAAATTAGTAATTAGTAACTACTAATACCAATCATGATTACTTGTAAAACCTCGTTTATTTTTTAACTACCGTAGAAAAAAAATGTGCCAGTACTTCATATTTTAAGTTTTCCTTAAGAAAATGATAGCATGCATTATATTTTACAATCTCTTTTATAAGAGTATAAAAATATATGGATTAGTCAGTAATTCTGTGAAGAAATTTTTTTTTTGTTTAACTGCTTTAAAGCTTACAGAAAGAAACATTGAACATCACCAAATCAATTATGTAAGAACAGAAAGAATATAAAGAGAATAAGTGCTGTTTAAGGTAATTTTAAAACAAAAATATTATTTGAAACTAGTACACCCTGGGAAAATATAAAAATGCTCTTTTATTTTCTTAAGTATATTTTGATTATGCTATTACAGTTGTCCCATTTTTTTCCTCCCCTTTATTCCCCTCTGCCCTGCACCCCCCGTCCCTTCAGCATTCTTCCCCCCGCCTCAGTTCATGACCATGGGTCATACATATAAGTTCTTCGGCTTCTCCATTTCCTACACTATTCTTAACCTCCCCTGTCTATTTTGTGCCTACCAATTAGGTTTCTTACTCCTTATACCTTTTCACCCATTCTTCCTCTTCCCCTCCTTTTAAAAAGTTAATTACCCAGTTTGTTCTAGAACTCTCAATTAAAAAACTAAAGGCTAGGGAGTCAAGTTCCAGAAAGAATTTCTTAGTCTTAACACCTTCCACTTGAGTAGGGTGAACTGGTACATATGACTTCCAGAAAAATAAAAAAAAACTACTTAAATCAAATCATCAAAATACTCTTAAAGAGTATAGCACTTTTATTTTTTACAATGATGTTCACTTCTTTTTGTGTTTCTGGAAATGATGGAAATAATCATCAAAACAGAGTCCCAGCACCAGGGTATAATCCCCAGATGACGCAAGCAGCCTCATTTGCCTGCACTGTGATTACACTGTCCTTCTGAAGAGAGAGCTAAAAAAGCAGCATCACCGGCGGGGGCCAGGTCTGCTTGCCATCCAGCTGCCATCTCTCGGTTACAGTTGTCACCGAGCTTTCCTTCTGTTTTCCTCTCGCTTTAACTTTCTCTACCCCATAATGTCTTGCCCGTATCTTTTCATCAGCAAGGAGAGGAAAGAACCCAGGCCAGCCTGTCAGAGAACGTAACAGCTGATAACCAGAAAGGTGGAGCACTTACCAGGGACCCTTTCGGTATTTCCATGTCGGCTTTGGTTCTGATGTTTTTCTTGTGGTTTCCTTGAGCGCTGATAGAGCTGCTGGTGAGACAGGAGCCCTGGGAGCTGCCCTTTAACACACTCCTGCAGGAAACATTATTTGATCCACTTTCTGTCTGTTGAGCTGCTCTCTTATCAACTCTGCAGGTAGAAAGTGGTTCCTCTGATAAATTACATTGCTCTTCTTCAATCACTCTATTCTTTCCAATCCTTTAATGCTGAAAGTAACCTCCACATAGCTGTTTGTCTTTAACTCTTTGAGTGATAGTGTTTCTCAATGGCCTTGATCAAATATTAATCTGATATTCCAGTAGTGTGTCCATTTAGATTTGATAAAATAATCTTTTATTTTTATTTTATGACTGCTTGTGAGATGGGGGTTGGGGGCAGTAAAAAACAATGAAAAGTGATTGACTACATTTTTGGCTTAAGATCAGCAGGAAAGGTAATTTCCTCTGGAAGTTTCTAAATACACATTTGCTTGGTACAATCAATGAGATTGGCATACTTTAGAATGTACATTTAATTTGCTTCCATTTCATGCCACGTGGGTACATTCATAGGTCCTAGTATAGGCTGAATTTCTTTCAGCCTTGATAAAACTTACCATTCTTTAATTTCAAAGACCATTGGTTTGGTTAACAAAGTAACATGGACTAAATTATTATTTTATTGCTAACTTTTATTTCATTGTTCAAATTTTGTCTAATGTATAAAAGACTGCTATCATCCATTTCCGCTTTTATGAAAACCATGCTTGGCTGGCATTTAATGTTCTGGAAGCAAACAACTCTCCTTGTGGGTAGGTGCCACCCCTCAACATCACCACCCTCCTTGCCCATGCGTTACCTGTTCAGAAGTTCTGTCATAAAGGTATCTTTTGTTGAACATGGAACAGGACTAAGTCTATTTCTCGGTTCAAACTTCATTTGGTCGTAAATGTCCTGTGGTGTTTTCAGATTATTTTTGCTTTGTAAACTCCCATTGATAGGATCTGCCAGCTCTGTATCCCTGTTAAGCTCATTTTCTACCTCACACTGGAGCTCAGGCTTCTTTTTCTCTTTTTTTCTCTCTGATTTTAACTGCTTATTTCCAAAGCCCAAGGCCTTTGCATCTTTCTTTTCCACTTTGGTTTTGGAGACGTCCATTTTCCTGCTACTGAGAGCGGGAAGTCGACTCCTCCGAAAACCAAACCAGCTGGCGAAAGAAGGCCCAGGCCTTGGCTTCGCTTCCACAGATGTGGACTTTGTTTGCACTTGGCCCTTTTCCACATTCTCTTGAATGCACAACATGACCTTTTCTTCGATTGTGGGTGAGAGGGGGGCTTCTGGGCTCACAGTATTAGCCCTGGCTATAGAAGTATTTGGATAGATTCCAGAAGTTTCTAGCTTGGGGGTCCTGCTTGTTTCAAAACTGCCTGAGCACTCTGTCCTTCCTGGGCTCTGCAGGCCTCGGAGGCAGTCTGTTGGGGCGGGTGGGCACCTGCAGAGGTCCCTTTCTGGTTCTGCAGGTGCAGCCACACTGGGGCATCCTCTCTGGACATAGGCTTGCTGGTCTTCAGGTCCAGGCGGCGTGAGGAGCCCTTCAGATTTTGGAGGAATCCTCAAAGGCAGCTTGCTAGGGCTTCCGTGCCAGCTGCTAGAGCTACCTGTGCTCCCCAGGGAGCCCTGCCTCGAGGGGGCATGGCCCAAGGCCCTCGCAGCACTGGGAAGGCTGTCAGACATGGGGGCCGAAAGGGTCTTGCTGGGAGAGCCATCCGTGGAGGAGCTCTGCCGGGTCAGAGAATTGCCTCTCTCTGCAGTGTTGGTAATAATCTGAGTTCGGACTTTGCCTGGCCCTTCCATGGGGGGCGTGGTGGGCTTCTCACCTGAGTGAGCACTGAAATTCTGGCTGCGGGCTTTAGCTCCGTTCATGCCTAAAGCTGGTTTTAGATGCGGCTTGTTGGAGGAAAGAGATCTTTTTACAGACCTGTTTTCTATTCCATCCTTTCCGTCAGCCCCAGGGATGTGATTTTCCAATGACTCTGGTATTGTTGCTTCCAGGGGAAGCCCTTCGGTCAAACTGTCTTGTGCTTGTAAACCCAGAGGAGTCACAGGTCTTTCATCTACTGTGGCCTCAAGGCTCGTTGGACTCCCGGAATGTTCTGGCTTTGACTTGCTCGCAGCTGCCGAACTTTTAGAGGCTTCATTGAGACTGTCTTTTTCATGTTTCCCTGGCACTGTGGAACTTTTCCTGAGCAACTGGGGAGACTTCATGAGAACTTTGAGCCCAACTGGGAGGCGAGTTTTCAAACTTTTCTCATGAGTGTTCTGACAGCCGTGTGGGGCATTATGGCTTTTAGAGGATGGCGAGGGACTGTTAACCTGAGATGATAGTGACTCGTTTACCCCTAAGAAGGAAGGCTTGTGTGATGTGGGGACACTGTCACTCAATTGTCCTTTTCTTCTTGGAGACAGACTTTTGGAGGATGATATGTCCAGAGGTTCATGGGCTGAAGGACTATTCTTGGAAATCTGTAACCCTGTGTCTGTTTGTGTGGTCCCAAGGGTTTGATGAGGTGGGGCTTTGGGGACACCTCTCTTTGGAGAGACCTTTGGAGGCCCTGGGGCCATCATAACAAGAGAGCTAGAGGGGGTATGAGCAGAGCATCTGGTTTGAATCACTGTTTCTGTGGAGGGCAGGGGGTGAGTCAAGATGGGCTTTTTGAAGGCCACAGAAGGTTTCTTCCCCTGCACTTCTGTCTGATTAGAAGAAATAATAGGAGCAGAGGATCCTTTTGGAGGGAGTGGTTTGAATGCAGTCCTTGCTGTTTCATCAGCAATGCTGGTTTCAGGCTTGGCAGATGAAGGTGGTGGCAAATAGTCATAACTGGGCCTGAGGAGCAGGGAGATTGACCGGCCTGGAGGGGGTGGGGGAGAAGGCGATTTCACTCTTGCCTCTGGCCTAGGGTCACAGTGTCTCTCCCCCTTGAGGGGTTCCCCATCGTCACCAGGCTCAATGAGGGGCCTTGACAGCAACTGTGATGCTGAAAGCTGACTCTTGGAGCACTGGACCGCACCCCTCCTGCCAGGCGTTCGAGAGCTGTGTTTTGGAATGTGTGAGTCTGGCTGTACGTCCCAGAGGTGCCCTGGGCCTTCAGTCCTCTTGAACCGGGAGAGTTTCCCAGGAGCCAAGGCTGGTGAGTTTTCAAGAGTCACAGGGCCAGACGAGGGGCCTCTAGTGGAGACTTCAGGCTCCATTATTTTTGATTTTTGAGGTGAAGCCTTGCCCCTGGCAGGTATTTTTGTCAGACTTTGCTTCTCATAGATACCCATGGATATCAAAGATCTATAATTACTCTGGCATGACATATTATGTGTTGGTTTGGCCAATTTCTGTTTCTGAGTATTTTGTGTTACTGTCCTGGGGCTGAAAGAATCAGTGGGTGCCTCAGCGAGATTATCTGCACCGTCCTTTGGAATGTTTTTCTCAGGTTCCTCTTCAGGTCTCCTTATACAAGTGTAGTCTCTGGCAGCAGCCCCTGGCTGTGAGTGAGCAATTCCCTGAGGTAAAGGTTCAGTGTGTTCTGCCTTGGGTACGCTTGGGCCCTGATTGATGGAAATTTCATTTCTGGTAACAGTGACAACACCCGTCTGGTGAGAGCTGAATTCAATGGGTTCACCATCTTCAGCATCAAATATTACAGTAACACATTCTTCTGAAGAAGTCCTTTTGACAACCCTTTGCTGCTTTATGAAACTAAATGTCTTTGGCCTACTCTCTAAGTGGATGGGCATTTGTTTTTTCTCCTCATTAGGAGACCCCAGTTGAGATTTTCCAAGTCCCATGAGGGTGTCCAGGTCCTCCGTAGACTTGTCGGTGTCAGCAGTCAATGACAAGTCTGAAGGGCTTTTCTCATCGCTGCTGTCTATATGCAACTCATCAAGGGTTTCATTGTCATCAGTGTCTGAAAGCTGGAGATTGCTGTGGCCCTGGCTGTGAGGACCCCTCTCCCTCTGCACCTGAGGCGCCTGCGCAATTGGGCACAGCTTCCTCTCCAAAGGACAGCTGCTGGCACAAGTGCTCAGCTGTTCAGGCCTTTCTCTGGGGTAAACCGAGGATGTGCCTTCTGAAAAGCGTTTTCCATTCAGCTCCCAGCCAAATAGACTGTCAGAAACACTATGGGTTAATTTACAACCATGCAGCCTGCAGGACTGGTTTGGAAAGGCTTGATTCAATGCCAAGGAGGAAGAGTCCTCATCAGCATCATCATGAGAATCTGTGTCATACACAAACACCTTGTGGGGTTCCTTGCAGGGGCCCTCCATGTCCGTTGGTTTGCAGGGGGGACACTCCTGGAGGCTGCTACTCTTAATTCCTGGAGAATATATTCCTTCATTTGAATTCATGCAATCTTTATAACCCCATTTGGTTATCACTGATGGAGGCTCAAGTAATACTCTCCGCTTCTGTAGCTTTCTTAGTCCTTCCAAAATGTGGCTTTCCTTGATACGAGTTGGAGGTAGTTCATCTGTAGGACTAGCAAAGCCACTTGGGAGTGAAGAATCAATACTTAGCCTTTTATCCCAGTTTTGTGATGATGGCTAGGAAAGAAAAGTAGATATCAGAAATGATAGAGTCAGGTGGATCACAAATTTATAACAGAAAAAGTCCATCATTGAACCTAATTTGTCCTAGTGGTTCATAAATATTCACAATAAATGCATATATTAATTAACACAAATTCATTTCTTAACAATATAGCACATCTCTATTTTGCCAGGTCCTGCACTAAGTAGTATATGATTTAAAGGAGTAGAGAACAAGGACCTGCCCTCAAGAAGCATGCACCCCCCTGATCAGTGTGACTCAGTTGGTTGGAATGTCATTCTGTAACTGAAAGATTGTGTGTTCGATTCCTGGGTGGGGCATATGCCTAGGTTGTGGGTTTGATCCTCGATCCAGGTGCGTAAGCTCTCTGGTCTGGGTGCATATGGGAGACAACCAATTGTTGCTTCCCTCTCACAGCAATGTTTCTCTCCCTTCCTCTCTCTCTAAAAGCAATGAAAAAAATGTCCTCAGGTGAGGATAAAAAATAAAACAAAATAAAACAAAAAGACAAATGCACCTAGCAGAGGAGAGTACTTGAGCAAAAATAACGGAAAGCCAAGGGCACAAATAAGAAGCGCAAATGCTGCAGGTACTCCAGAAATTCAAAGGGAGACCATACTTCTGTGTGGAAAAACCATGAAAACCATAAAAGGAAATGGAGTGTTGTTTTTTAAACCTACCTAGCCCTTGCAAGATGTCTAGTTTTGCCTTAGTTTAAAAGTAGGGGGAATCATTTCCAGTTAGAAAAAATACTATGTCAAAGACCCACACCGAGAAGGTAAGTTTAAGGTACATTTATGGAATAACCAAAGACAGTGTGGCCTCAGTGTGTACCAGAGGTAGAGAGGATAAATGGAAAGGTAAGTTAGCCCATGTCTTCATGGCCCCTTGCATTCTAACATCTGATAGAATGTCATGGGACTTCATGGTTTTTCCAGACAGTGAACACCTGTGAGATACAGCTACACATATAGCAGCGGGGCATTTGCTGTTAGAACCCATAGTAATGATTCACCTACTAACTTATAAAACTCAATTTTTTGTCCTTTATACTTCCACGAATACTAGGGTTGGTTTTGGAGAAGTGGCCAAGAAACGACAAATAAAAAATACTGCATTCCACACAGATATTCATATTTTTTCATAGTGCTGTAAACAACAAATGGAAGGCAGGAGGGAACTGACATCGACTAAATCTCTGCTTTGTACTAGTTACTTACACAGTATTTTGACTTAATTTTCAGAACAACATCAAGAAGGAGAGATTAACCTCCTATTTTCTAGGGAGAAAACTGAGATTCAGCAAGATCAGTCTGTTGGAAATCACACAGGTAAGGAAGAGCTGGTACAAAGCTTTTAACTCTTGTTTCCTGGGTTCTTTCAATGACTGAGTTCCAAAGTGGCCATGTGGGGATTTGAACCCAGACGGTGTGGCTCTAGAGCCTGCAGAACTTACTCTTGATGGCACACTCCTAAGGTCAAGCTCAGTTTGTGTTTTTCCCTCTACATTAGCCAACGTCATAAGAGAGATCATAGGTTATCACCATACTTCTCTTCAGTGGAGTGCTGGTTTAATCAATAACCAGCACTCAGGAAAATTGGTAAAATGTGAGTGTGGGCACTGCCCTAATGCTTTTTTTTAAGACTATATCATTAATAGTGAAGAATTTCAATGAATGAACCTGGAGGTTTCAAATGTGCACTCTATACCTATCTTGACGAAGAGTGCAGTTCCCCTTGGCCTCTCCACGCCAGCTGACCCCTGTGCTGTAACTCTCGATGCCAACCACGTGCTCAAAAGCAGAGGGTGGAAATGTGTCAGAGACTTATACTGGATTCTCAGCTTTTTAGTAAGCTGTGAACATTTATTTATATCTAAGACATTTTCATAAATATTACTCTTGCTATCAACAATATAGTATATTCTTTATTTGTGTTTTGTTATCTGTATTTTTTCAAATTATATAGTTTCTTTAGAAGATTCTTCAGGGCCATAGTTGCTGTGGATAGACGCTATTTGGCAATGCTTCCCCTGCCCCTCCTCTTCCCTGTACCATTAAAAACCCCTTTGAAAATCAGAAGAAATCCTATTTGTGAGTTTGGGCATTACAGATTGACCAGCGAGAGGACTGCCACAGCTTGGGTTTCTAAGAATTTCCGTGATCTCTATAGTCACATCACGTTAAAGAAGAGAACACAGGCAAAAGTGCCCTGCAAGAGCTTGAGAAAGGCTGATCTGATGTGCTCAGCCTCTGCCCACGTGCCTCCTTCCTGCCTCTGCAGCGCCTTCCCATGCTGTGGTTCAATTCCTCCCAGGGCCAGCGGCACCAGCGCCCCCGGGCCCAGGGTCTGCCTGGGGAGATGAGCCACATTCCTCAGTCAGTTTTCCATAGCTGGTTATGGTATTCAATAACTTGAGAGAAGTTTGGAACAACTTTGAAACTTCAAATAAAAAAATAGGAATCCCTGTAGGAAAGACCATGGAGTGGAGCTGGTATTTCCCACAGGCAGGTTCATTCTTTGTGGAAAAGTTGGAAGAAATTTGTGATGGGAACAGTTGGCTTAAAGATGCTGCTAAGGCAGAGGCCTGAATTTAATGTCCATCGTCCATTTCTGTTTCTTGACTGGACAACAGTTCTACACATTTTTTAAAAAGGATATTCTTGATCTTAGTGGGAACAAGTGCATCTCAACAATTGGAACGATTTCTTCAAGTTTTAGGCTGATTCAACAAGGTCAGTATAGCCAAATGGTTAAGAGCGATGGTTCTGAAATCAACTGCCCAGGTCTGTCACTTACTGGCCATGAGATTTTGGGCTAGTTCCTTAATTTTTCAGCATCCCAGTTTCCTCATCTATAAAATTGGGGAACTAGGAGGCCCTCTTTAATAAGCTACCTTGCACATTAAATGAGTTTATCCTTATGAAGTGCTAACACAGCTGTGTGGCCCATGTTAATTACTCATTAATTAGGCCAGAATGCTCCTTGTAGGGCAGGCTAATGCATTTAATGCAGCCTTGTTTTCTATTTCTAAACAAAATGGTACCAGAAAAAAACACTTGTGCACTAAAAAAGAGGCATTGGACATATATTTATTAATGTGTAAGTTAATAATTATATTCACAATCAAACTATATATATTACATGAGTTAATACTAAATGAGTACCTGGTAAACAGTAAGAACTGTAAAGCTTCCTTAAACAATATAAATTTAAAGTCTTTGCAGGACTGGGTCTACTTTGCTGAGTCCCTAAGAATTGGGACTTTCCTCTGTGAGATATGACAGATGTGCTGGTGCTCCCTGGCCATTCTGAGCCAGGACCCTATCAAATCTCCACATATAAAACCCCTGAGTATGTCTGAAATGTCTTAAGAGCCTCCCACCTTCCACCTTCCTACTGAAAATTCTTTTCTGGTTCACTCAAATGCTGAAGCGCCTTGAAAGGAGGCCTTACCCCTTTCCTGAGGTTCTTCCCATCATGCCACGTGTAGGAGGAGCCGCTGGAGTACTCGCTGCAGGTGCTCGACAGAGACAGTTCACTGCTGCTGCAGCTATTGTGTGGGCAGAGATGAGCAGGGGTGACAACCCCCAGGCCAGGGCATTTCAGAGCAGGGGTTCCTGGTTTTGTGTTCAACCGGCATTCCTGAGAACAAAGGAAACATGTAAGCTAGGGCTTTGCTTAGGGGAAGTAAATATCAACGCAACCTCATAATGAAGTATAAGTGAATAGAACAAGTTAATCTCTTGGAGCTACATTTTTTCTTTTAAAAAGTGAATCATGATAATACTGCCTACCTTATAAGGTTATTGCAGGGACCACATGGGGTTCTAGATGGCAAGCATATAGCACACTATCTGGACTAAGTGGGTGCTTAATCGGTGGGAGCTACCATCTTCACTAGGGAGAAGTATCACAATGGTAGTTTCTAATTTTATCCAGTCACAGTGGTGAAAGGATCAGATTAATATCAAAACATGACTCTAATGTTGTGAAAGGAAGCAAAAACAGTAGCATCTTTGGCTGGAGTTGAAGAGTATGATCACTAGCTTGGGAGTCTAGCATCCTGGATACATACTACCATTAGATACAAGACTGTGAGCAAGTAACTTCCATGATCTTTAATGTTTTCCTTTGTAGAGTGGAGCAGTTCTACCAGATTACCCCATGGTTCCTTATGGCTCTGACGCGTCATTCTAAGTCAGAAATCAAGTGCCTGGAGCATTTCTGTACCACCTTCCAGGAAGCCATGTGCAGCGAAACACCAGCCTCAGGACCAAGGAGGTTCTATTGTAAAATATAATGGGACTTCTCATGTCAGTTGGCTGTCCAAATGGTAAAGACTGTCTTATCAAATAGATCTGGATCCCATGCAGATCCAGGTGGTTCAAACTCTCGAGGGTCTGCAAAAGGCATGGGTGACAAAGTTGTAAACATCCCAATACTTCTTGACAGCCACTTTATAGACTCCTAACGTAACAGATGGAGCAACACAACTGGACCGGCTAAAATAATTTAGCATCCCAACCATAGGAATGGAATCTCTCCATTACTGTCTAATTCCAGTCTCCTATCTAAACAAAGCTTTGTCTCAGAAACTCTTTGATGGGGAACCATCTGTCTTTGTGTCACTTGCAGAATGGCAAAGCCACTTACTTATGCAACCTATTCACACTTTATGGGTGTCTTTCGTACCTGTGTACTTATCAGTGTTCTCCAAATACAATTCCAACTGACGGTGACTAAACACCAGCTTGGGGAGAAAAGGTAATGCTGTCCTGAGAGTACTTGTGGTCAATATAAAACCCCTATGTAAGTACAAAGGGCATGTTTAATTTGCTGCCTAATCAATATCCATAATTATTAGTAATGTTAGATTTCCAGTGTTAGCCATGTGCCTTTCTATCGATACATCATTTTTGCTGCATAACAGTCTCTTTAAGTGATCTTAAAAATGCCCCCCAAAATTACTACTCTGTTTTTCCCCTTGAAATTGGACTCTAAATATCATTAAAAGGTAAAATTTTGTCTTTAAATTGAGCTCTTAATGATACCTATTGATTCACGACTGTTTCATTGCTGGACATAACTTAAGGGGCATTCCTATTTGTAAATCGACAGATGCCTGGGAGCAATGGTCCTATTGCACAGGAACACCTGGCCTTTAGGCTGCAGCCACAATGTACATGTGAAACACACCCCGAACAAACTCTCAGAAATATCATATCACTCTCTACTCCTACTTGTGTGCTTTCTATTTTCTCCATTCTGTTCTCTCATATTTGGTTGTTTGACTGAGCAGGGTGGTGGTTTTACTTAGGACTGACTTTGCTCTGACAGGTTTGCCTACTATCCAGAGAGAGAGAGAGACTGTGTCTGTGCACTGCGAGGACATCCGGACCTAAACTTCTCCAGTGGCCCCTTCTTAAACTCTGCAAGGCTTTCGGTTACAGTTTATATTCTATCTTTTCCCAAGATCCTGAAGCTTATATATATTTCCTGTCTTTCCTACCTATCCCTTCCCACTATATCTCTCAAAATTATACTTAATTTAACAACTTAACTCCACTACCAGGCCTCTTGTTACAAGTAAGCACCTTTGCCCAGGTGATGCCCATGCGTGTACCTACGGTACAGATGCTGGTTAAGATGACAGGAAATTAGAACTCTGAACATAAGCTGGAGGAGAAAGAAACTGCTGCCCTCCCTTGACCTTGACCTTGAGATGGCCAGATGTGATAGAAGATAATTCAGAAAGGTGGAAAAAGCCCACCGATGTCACGGAGGCAGATGGAATCAGGACTGGTTACGCAGAGAGGTGTCCTCTAACACTGGTTTTTCACACTTTAATGTGAACACGAATCATTCAGGATCTTGTTTAATGCAGATTCAGTAATTTTAAGGTGGGAGCTGAGATGTATTTTGATCAAAGTCACAGGTGCTTCAGTGCTGCGGGTTCAGGACCTGTGCCCTCTGTAGAAAGGCCCCAGGAGAAGCTATAAGAGGATTTACCTTTTATGTGAATTTTGTGGCAGCATGTTGTGTCATCTCACAGTCTGACCTGAGCTGAGGCAGGAGCAAAGGGGTGACCTGAGCCTGCTCAGAGACTAGGGGAATGGGGAGGGAGGGAGGGAGGGAGGGAGTGTGTGTGTGTGTGTGTATGTCTGTGTGTCTGTGTGTTGGGGTGATTACAAGGTAATTCCTTGCAGAGAGGAGAAAGGGGCTAGTCCTCCCACCTGGGAAATTCTCCCATCATTCTTCCACCTTAGACAATCAATGTTTGAAGGTAATAAGGGACCCAGAATTTGGCATCATGGCTGCAAAATGAGCTCTTTTTCCTGTAGTCTCTTTCTTCATCAGCACACAATTATCATATAGGATTGTCTACTCCACTGAATAACTGTTCTGTGATTGAGTGCTTGAACTCCAAGGGCATTTATTTTACTTAAATCCTGGCTATTCCACTTGCTAATTTTGACTCTGGGAAAATTATTTAACCCATCCAGGCCTCAGATTCTTTCATGGTAAATGGAGATAATGCAAATACCTACCACATATGATTATTCTTAAATTTGAACAGCCCCTAGCATAGAGCAATGGTTAGTTAGTTTTAGTTGCTGCTACTACTATTAAAAATGTTTTTATATATGTGTGTCTTCACTCTTTAAATCAAAAGTTTACAGCCTCCCAAAAAGACCCTGTGTGATACTTCTTGATATGTCGTCATTGTCTGATGACTCGCATGTAGGAACCATGATGAGCAATAGCCAACAGTGGGTGCATTTTGTTCCCAGGGGTCACTGATGTGAGCTGCTGGACAGACATGCTAGTAGGTGCCTTTATCAGTCATCATTCTCCATGTTTGTCATGTTTTTCTGTGGCTGTGGCTCAGTGCCACATATTTACAAAGAACAGAAGAGGGCTAAAGCAGCAGAGATCTTAGTATTGCCAATATTGTTAGCAGGTGTTATGTTAAGTCCATTTCCACAACATTCAGAAATATAAGAGAAACATCATTATGCTCATTTTCAGTTGGGGCATTAGGGAGTTAATATCTAAGGTCACCCAGCCAATATAAGATTCTGATGTCAGACCCACATCCTAGTCACTACGCTATATAGTAAGGCCCTTAACAACAGCAGAACTCCTGGACATATGCAGACCACCAAGCACCCGACTGAGAACTGTTGTAATTAGTAATAAATAATGATTATCATTAAAATTATTCTTTTTAAAAAAATATATGTTTGCTTCCACTCTAACATTATCTTATTTTGATTTACTTGGCAAAATATACCCCATTTGCATTATTTAAAGTATATTTTAGATTATCTTGAATCATTTGTATGCTTTAACATTCTAACTATGAAAAAGATAATACAAAATTCATAATTTTAGTTAAAAAAAGAGACAGAGAATGAAGGTAAGAATTTCTTGGATAAAAACTACACACTTAAAATATTCCTGACCTTAAAGCTGTATTATAGATTGGATGCCATTAAGGTATTCATAAATATTTAAAGTGACAGAATTCCACTAAAATTTCATTCCAATCTAACTTGAGAATATTTACCTTTGAAATTGAATACCCTAGCTACACTTATAAAATTGTACAGTAAAATAAAAAGCCAGTTATCCACAATGTTCATCTATCATTGTTTTAAACTTAACATTTTTCATTATATATTTATTTGGCTCTGGTGTTTTTCAAGTAACTTTTTTATGTCAATGATAGTTAATGCTGGTTAAAGTTTTGCCATATAAGCACAAAGCTAACCCTAGCTAAAGAAAAAAAATGTATAGCCCATGAATTTTTAAAAGTTCATACGTAATATATCATAAAAGTAGGACGACTAATATGGAACATGGGTTTTAATAAAAAGCTCCTTGACCATTTCTCAGAGACTCTGAAATGTAATCAATACCCAAAAAGGTATCCCAGGGACAAAGCCAAGATTTATGATATTTTTGCCAAGAGAGACACTTTTTGTTCACTCTATCAGCTGGGGGACATGATACTGAATTTCAGAGAACACAAGAAAAGAAAGCATTTTATGTCTGACAGTGTTTTGAGGGTGCACTCTATGGTTCACTTGTGACATCATATTTGATGGAAGGGAAATAACAACCTAAACAATCGTTCTGAAAGCAACAGGAAACTCACATGCATCTCAACATCAGTTCGCGACTGTATCAGACTTTGGCTTCTTTCCACCTCAGAGAGCAAATCTCCGGATGACAGATCTAAGATGCGAGAGTGAAGTTTCTAGGTACAAACAAGCAGAAACATTGAATCATAATGATTTAATTGTTCGTTTCAAAATCCTGGCTTGGACAAGTAAATCTCAAAAGAGTTGACATTTCTAGATTGGATAATACATATCCTGACTCAAAAAAAGTTTATTCTAGTTTATCAGTGTTCTATATACATGCATGTGCAAATTACAGCTTATAAACAATAATCACACTTTCACAGTCTGTCAGTCTATGATAAAAAATAAGCCATAGGAAAAAAATAAGTAGTAGTTGGGAAATAAGTAGTAAGAAAACCGTGAATACCCCAATGTACTGACTGGCTAGAGTGAAAATTAACTTTTGATATTCACATGAAAAAACAATCACCATGTTAACCTTATTATGCTGAGCAGTGGTTAAAATCTGAGCAAATAATTATAAAAGTGACCTTATTTCTGAACAGCATTGATCTTGTAAAATCTTCCCTTGGACATATTTTAACTCAAAGTCATTAATGTCACCTGTTAGGAACAATTAATGTGAATGGAAAATAATTGCATCAGGGATTTGGGGACTTAGATTTTGGGCATTAATATGCATACACTATTTGATAATATACTTAATTCTTTATTTCAGCTTTGCTTGGGAGGCCTGCTAAACCAGGGACATTTCACTATATTAATCTTTATACTAATTGCTGAGGTTTTTCTGTGGACATTACATTTGATCTGTTTAATTGCAAATACAATAAAACTTGTGATTTATGTCTCATGTTTCTGCTGGGCTGATGACATTTTAAAAATCGTACTTGTAGCTTGGTTTCTCTTAGTTACAACTTTTGTACTTGAAACAGTAAAAAAAAATAGAATTGAGTAAGTAAATAATGTGGCAGAGGCAAGCCTCCCATGTCTCCGAAAAGTGTCCCTCTTCCTTTCCTTCCCTTCCCTGGGAAGACCTTGCTGCACATTAATGTTGATCCTGGAACTGCCTGAGATTCCCTGCCACTAATTAACACTAGAATCATCTCAGAGTTCAGGGTGCCCTTTGTCCCAGCAGATCTGCCTCGCTGTCAGCAGGGACAGTGAACCTTGCTAAAATGAGGCACATTCGCTCTGTTCCCCACTTGACTCCCCTCACGCTGAACTTGTGAGAGCCCCTGTGGAGTTGGTTAGTCGATCAGCTGGCCAATCAACAAAAGTTTATTTCAAGCCCCCTAAAGGATGAGCGCTGTGCTGGGCCTATACCACCTCCTTCCACAGGAGCGAAGGCATTTTTTCAGCTATAGATCAGTTCTCCCCATCGGAGCAGCTTCACATCACCACTTGCTTCAGACCTACAGTCTTGTGTCTTCCAGTCTGTGTGGAATTTATTTCACCAAAAGGGTGTAAATCCTAAATTGGATGCCTGTCATTTTGAAAAATCTAATTTCTCCAATAAAGCTAAGACATCAATATGTAACTAGAACCAGGATGTTTTTTTCTGCCCTGTTTCCATAATCTTTACTTCAAGCTCCCTCTACAATCTGAGTTTTCCTGGGGCAAAGGTTGTTGAATTCCCAGGGCCTGTCACAATGGATAATAGTCAGTAATCACCCAACTGGTGCTTATTGTAGTCTATAAAGAAATGATGTCCCTATATTTTTTCTACCAACAGGTAGGTTCGAAAGATTGGGGAAGTGCCAAAAGAATTATAATGTTCTGAAACCTAAGAATACATTTATCAACATGCAAACAGTCCAAGAAGTTATGGGAAGTGACATCCAACAAAAAATAATGAATTTGAGTGGTATATCATGTGATCTGGGGGAAGAGTTCTTATAGATTAGCTTTCTGACTTCTCATTCAGTTCATCATTACATTTCATTCTTATCAGATATATGATGTCATCCTTTTGCTTTCTGCATGAATATATGTATGTATAAACCCATCCTCCTAAATGATGTTACATTTCATCAGTTTTTATCCAAATGGTCAGTTTCCTCAGTTGATATAGGAAAGGTCTGGTTGGAAAGGGGGCAGATCCTAGGGCAAGGGGTCAGGAGAGCGGAGTTCATGCCCTGTCTAAGGCACAGGTTCTACCAGATATTGGGAATGTAATTGCACATCTCTGTCTCAGATTCCTCACCTGTAATAGAGAAGTAGATGTGGCTACTAAACCTACCTCACAGGTAGGCATAGGTATTGCCATTGATAGGATAACAAATAAGATAATATGTTCAAATTCACACAACCATATACCAATTAATTGTTACTTCTGAGAGTTGGTGGTAGGTAATTCCTCAAAAGCTAAGGTACAAATGAATTATTTGTTGTTATAGTTTCCCTATAGGTAAAGCAAATAAAAATTGACACAAAAAACAAATCTACTTCTGTGTTAAGGCGGTAGGCAAGAAAATGGTAGGTAAATAGCATTCTTTCATGCAACTTCCCTTAAATAACCACCAAGCGCACAAGCTCATAGATGGTACACTTCTTATAATAAGAACTTTAATGAAAGGCTTATCTTTTCGCATCTATATATGTATATATAATATTGTAATAAACATTTTCTCATAGGCAGAGAGAGAAAACCAGAGAGGGAGTATAAGGGCAAGAGAGCAAGCACATCCCTTCTCAAACTGGTACTGTGATGTTATCTGTGCTTAGTTTGAATCTCAGTGACAAGGAGGTAGAATGTATATATGGGAAATGCAACCAAAACAATATCTTTCAGAATATGTCTCCTTGGGCAAGAGAAACAAAAGCAAAAATAAACAAATGAAACTACATTAAATTGAAAATCTTCTGCACAGCAAAGGAAGCCATCAACAAAACAAAATGGAAGAGACGTTCAATAATGGATATCCAAAATATATAAGAAACTCATACAACTCAACAGCAAAAAAACCCCACAAACAATATGATTAAAAATTAGATAAAGGACCTGAATAAACACTTTTCCAAAGAAGACATACAAATGCCCAGCAGACATGAGAAGATGCTCAACATAACTGATTATCAGGGAAATGCAAATTAAAACTACAATGAGATACCACCTCCTGTAAGATTGGCTATCTTCAAAAATCAACAAATAACAAATGTTGGTAAGGATGTGGAGAAAAGGGATCCCTTGCGTACTATTAGTAGGATTGCAAATTGGTGCAGCCACTGTGGAAAACAGGGTGGCAGTTCCTCAAAAAATTAAAAATAGAACTACCATATGACCAAACAATTTCGCTTCAGAATATTTATCTCAAGTAAAAGAAAATACTAAATCAAAAAGATATATGTACCCTGTTTTATTGTGGCATTATTTACAATAGCAAGATATGAAAGCAACGTAGGTGTCTATTGATAAATACATGAATAAAAAAGATGAGGTTTATATATATAATGGAATATTAGTTATAAAAAAGAATGAAATCTTGCCATTTGTGACAACATGGATAGACCTAGAGGGTAGAGGGCTAAGTGAAAGAAGTCAGACAGTGAAAGAAGAATACTGTATGATCTCACTTTCATGTGGAATAAAAAAAAAAGAGAAAAAAACAGACTCATGGATACAGAGAACAAACTAATGGTTGCCAGAGTGGAGGAGTATGGGGTGATGAGTAAAAAAGGTAAAGAGGAATATGAGATACAAATTTCTAGTTACAAGTACGTCACAGGGAATATAGTCAAAAATATTATAATAACTTTCTATGGTGGCAGATGGTTACTAGACTTATTGTTGTGATCACATTGTAAGGAATATAAATGTTGAATGACTATGTTGTACACCTGAAACTATATAAAATATTGTATTCCAATCATACTTTTATAAAGTTTTAAAAGTTATCAGAAAGTATAAGTGACAAGAGGATACCATGACTTCTTAAAAAAGCCCACCTACTTAGAGAACAAACTCAGTATCACATACTTACCTATAGTTCTTGTTTACTGTTAGTATCTATCATAAAATCTCTCACCTGAAATACTTCAAACTTGAAATCTTTAACCTTAAAATCTGGATAAATCCTGGATTTAGACATGAATTTTTAATGTTTTAGACATGAGAGGTAGAAATATTATTCAGTATAGGTTTGCAATTGACCTCACATTATCTCTTACCCTATCTCAGTAACAGAGATTCCACTTCCTCTTAGTCATAGATACTCCTAACCACACATTTCCAAACCGGAGGTCAGTGAGGTCTTTTAGCTCAAATGCTTCCTTTGAAGATAAACAGTCTATGCCTACTTTCCTGCTAGACAAGTTTCATTGTTTCTGGAAGGGGCCCCTTTCACTTCCCAGCTGATGCTTTTATCTTTCCAGCCAGTTTAAACCTTGTCCATATTCAGGACTACACTCCTACCCACTTGCAAGGTTGTGCATTACCTCCAGCCCACAGTGGATTCCTCACCCAGCTGGTTGACGTCCCCCTTCTCCCCTGCCCCCTCATTTTGGCCCTTTATCTGAAGTGAACAATTGCTGAATTGGTCCTGCACATAGAGTGTGTTTTCCTAAGAGTTTTCAGCTCTATGAAAATGCAGGCCAAGCCCTATATTTCTGCTTTGTTCCTGTGGCAGGGACTGGCTAGTTGTCATGGAACCTATTCCCCCTTCTCTGGGAACTCATCTAGACTGAATTTCCCAGCCCCCTTTGCAGGTACATGTGGCCCTGTGACATGATAAGCTCTAGTCAATGGAATGTGTGCAGAAGTGATATTTCCTGTCATGTCCTGTCCCATGAATATCTCCAGCATGCAGTGTTCCACGCCCTTTCCCTTTCCACCAGTTTGATGCAGCCAGCTCAGCATAGCAACCTGAAGAGCCACATGTTAAAGATGGCGCCTTGAGGTGGAAGGAGTTTAGGTGCCTGAATTGCAAACTGAAATAGAGTCACCTGGGGATCAGAGATAATAACTTCTTCTGGACTTTCCATAAAGAAGAAATAAACTTACACTAGATGTGACCCATGATTCATTTGGGCGTTTGTTGGCTATCATGGCTAATATTAACCTGGCTGATCTAGCCCTTCTCTGAGATAAGCACTCTGTAGCATACAGGTTAGT